AGCAGGTTTAAAACACTGATATTCAAAATGCCTCACACATGGACCAATGATCAAGAAACACGTTCCACCTGACCAAACACCTGATAGCATAATTGTTGGCTCATCAATCAGGATGTTAGCACTATAAAAAGACCACAGGTGGTGAGTACTTTCTTACAGAAACAATGGAAGCCAACATGGAAGCAAGAGGAAGAGGAAGAGCTGGGCTGAGAGTGAGAGGAGGAAGAATGAGAGGTAGAGCTGGAGGGAGAGGACGTTCAGAGGGTTCAGCCTAATCTAAGCCGATTTACTGTTGCCTCTGTAATCCGGACACTTAGACTTGAAAACAGGTTAGTTACCAGTTTTCAGCTCTGCATAACTCATGATATATCAGTGCTTATATCTGTTGTGTGAAACGTATTTACTTCATTACTGTAATTTAATTGTTGGCATGTTGCATACTATAACTGTACAGTAATCCTGCACAATGTACTGTGGTAAACTTACTGTTATGCAACACAGACACTGACCAACCACTATGTCTTTGTTGTTTATCTGAAGGACTGAGAAACAAAGAGGTGCAGGTGGAAGGCTAAGGATTTTCAATGAGGCACAGGAAGCAGCAGTTACAAACTGGGTTTTGACAAACAATGCATCACACTTAGAGATCTGAAGCATAGTAACTATGTGCTGAGATGCATGATGCACAATGTTAGTTTTGAATAAAATGTGATTTTTTTTTCAACAACTAATTTGTATTTCTTCATTTTCTGTATTTCTGTAAACTCAATCAATCTCTCTCTGCAGAAACCTCTATGTACAGAGCACAGCCCATAACAGATGAAAGTGCTTTAGATGATGCTCAGCAGTGTGTAGTTGGGTGGTCAAACAATCTAGTATTAAGAATGAAGTGTGTTATATTTTGTGCAAAAGTTTGCATTTGGTAAGTGTTTATGTAGTTTTGAGTGCAGTTCTTCATTTAGCAGGAGAAATGAGGTGTTTTGCACTTTGGGGGTGTGGTTTTGTGAATTGTGTTTAGTGTTCTGAGAAACTGAGCAATTTAAAAAAAACCGTGTTAGCAATCGAGAAAAACTGTAATCTTATCAGTATAGTTTAATACTCGGCAAACAAATCGTAGAATTCTGCATTTTATAATGTACATAATTGAATGATCAGGGAAAACCATTATTATAACGATGACAAATATTTAGTCCTGAAATGATTTGTGTCGAGTTCAAATGATCCTTTCCAGGCGCATCGATTGTAGGACTTAGTCTGTATGCACCTTCATCCGGATGTAGTAACAAAACTGGTGTTCATTCGTCCTAAAGAGTTCACGCTGCGCTCTGAACCAGCAGCATGTTCCTCTTGTAGCACTCGAGGCTGCAGAGGGGCACCCCGCTCTTGGAGCAGGCGTACCTCTTGATGTTAGGGCAGCCGGTGACCCCGCAGGTCACGGGGGCTGCAGGTGGAGCAGAGGGGGGGGTTGGGGTCGGAGCAGGAACCCCCGAGGGGAAGGAGATGTTCATTCCCAGGGCGTTGTCTCTGTAGCGCACCATGGGGCTCTGGCTCAGCTTGGACTTCCTCTCCCTCATGCTCTTGATCTTGGCCTTGCTGGTTTTGGTCAGCCTCTCGATGGTCTGGTTCTTGCTGTCCTCCGCCTTCTTGGCCGCCTGCAGGCGTCTCTTCCGCGCTCGCTCCTCCCGCTTCTGCATCATCTCCACCGTCATCTCCTTCTCCTTGTAGCCCATCGGCAGCTCCAGGAGCGGCTGGGTCTGCTGCTTGTGTAACAGCGCTTTCTGAAAACATGACAAAAACACTCCTTGAAGCACACGTTTCTATTTCAGAGAACATGTTGGCATGACAGATTACATATCAGTTAAATTACTACCTTTGTTTTTTGTATATATTGATATAAGTGGACCATGCTAACTTGATGTTTCAGTTCTGTTCCTGTACTTTTCTGTTATTAAATTATGACAGGCGATCCTGCGCTAAAGCAGCTTTTAGTGACTCAAAATAGTTGTTCACTACAGTATGCTAGTAAGATGCTGAAAGTCTGCAAGTTAGTATCACAACACGTTTTTGACCAGAGGCCTGTACTACGAAGCTGGTTCAACCTAACCTGGATATGTTTGAGTTAGTCGGTTGGCCTAAAACATACGCGCTCTCGCTAAACGGTACTACGACGCGGGTTATCAAGTGGATCGCTCAAGCCAGCCGTGCCCTATCTAGTTAGGTGCGCGTTCACATGAAAGGGGTGGTATTTGCAGCATTCGACCAATCACAAACATGGAGAAGCGTACTGACAGCGCAGCGTCATACTTCCTGAATGAAAAGTCAACTATAGAATGCAATTCCTGAAGAAATTGCTAGTCGGAATGCTTTATGCTGAAAATCTGACGCTAAACTGTTGAAATGTAATGTGTAAGAAAAAAAGTGAATAATTTAGATTGAAATGATACATGAACACTGGGGGCTTGAATGTGTGATGAGAGAAGAAAAGAAAG